TAGAGCCAAAGATGTTAGAATTGTGTCGATGTCCCAATATTTCTGGACCTGACTGTAGTTGGCATATCAAACAAAACCAGTAATAGTGCTTCTGATCACATAAGTCACTTGGGCCTCCAATGACAGTAGGAATAATTCCATTTATATACAATACTTATTTTTTCAGAGGGAATACAATACCATTAAGACTAGCAAACTACTAATGTATTCATAAACTACCCACCTATAAGGTGTCTACTACATCAAAATTCAGTCTTAGTTTATTGATCCTCATCCATCCTATCACTGTTTTGAGACACTGGTTCAGAATCAGTGTCTCTCCTGATTCAGATATTAAGGAGAAACAGAGCTTAGTGTCACCAACCCAAGACTTGGAACAAGAGGCCATATAATAGGCCAGACAGTTACAAGCATCTTTTCCATATCTGCAAGCCTTATAAACTAAAAGCAATCCCGTGCACATATTAGTAGGACTTGTGTCAAAGGGGGCATTCATATTGGCATGAAGAAAATTTATTTTATCCATGGCCTAACACATTCACTGTCACCTTCAATTTCAGATTTGACTTCTGTCTCGTTTGAGATGGCTGGCCAGCCAATATATTGAGTATGTTTCCCTGTTAATTTTTTTTAAAAATAATAAAATAGTGTTCTGTCTTAATTGAGTGCCAAGTCTTCTCCTATCCGTTTGATGTCTCCATTTCATTCCCACATGTTCACAATGGATGAAAAAAGAGCTGCCTTAATGACAGTCTACCTTAATGACAATTTAAATCAGGGTCTAAGTTAATCTAATTTAAATCTTAGTGCAAACTCTTTTTCTCTCCTAAACACATTTTTTCTCAATGTTCTTTCCTAAGCCTGTTCCTCTCTTTTACATGTCCACATGTAGAAAAGGCACATAGTTAATCAGCTTCCTTCAAAAATAATCCCACTGCTTCCCAACATTCTGTGCTGATCAAGCAGAGGTAGTGGTATTGGAATATCCTCCCCACCCAGTGAGTGGACAGGGACCCAACAAAGCAAAGTGCATACAGTAACTTCCTAATAATCAACCTATGCCTTCATAGGGAATTAAAGTGATTGGCATCTCAGGGTCAATGTTTTGCTCTGCATTATATTCAGGCATTTAAATTTTCATAAATAAATTCATACATTTAATCTAGTTGAGGGAAATAGGTCAAATAGATTTTATTTATTTATTTAATGTACTCCTAATCCCCCTTCTTATTTCTAAAAAAATCCCAAAGGAGCTTACAATAATAATTAAAAGGTCTCAGAATAAAATTAAAGGAAAGATGAATTAAGAGACAATACTAAGGGGAGTTAATTATTGGAGAGGTTCAGCACAGAAATATTAAATATTAAGAGATACTAAAACACAGTAGCTTGGGGTCTGTTGCACCAAAGAATTTGTTTGCCCACATCATGCTTAAAATATTCTGGTATCACACTGTCAAGACCTTGATTCTGTACAACCAAAGGTGAAGTGAGGGCAAAGCAGACCCAACTCAACATAGAAATGCTTACAAACATCAGGAACATCCAATGGCTGGTTTTCCTCTTAATGTCTGTTAGCCAGAACTGGATAGTGACAGACAGACTGAATTTCCATTTGACATCACAAAGACCTTGAGTTTCAAGCCCATTTTGGGCCTAAGCCCTGCAAAACCATGCAGCTTTTGCACTCTAATTTTATAATTTGGTTTTAATCTTAACAGCAGTTATTAGGATGAATTGGATAAAACCACATTTTGTTCAAATTGATTTCAAAGCTACTTTTATCAAATATATAATATCTTAAGCAAAACAAGTCATAATATGAAAAATAAAATCAGCAAATGGAAATGAACCAATTAAAGATGTAAAACTGAAGAGATGCATTGCTGCTACACATCTTACCTCTGAATCTGAGCTACCCAGTTCAGCCAAAGTGGGAGCTTTCAAAAGTCTCTTCCGCTGCACTGTTAATTTCGTTGTACCTACGCCATTTACCTTTGCTTTGGATTCCAAGTTGCCATTTGCTATACAGCTTTCTGATAAGCTTGTGGAGGCCATTGATGTGGGTATATCTAGGAAAAGCAGAAATGCTTGTGATAATACATCGAATAAGATCTTTTTCTAACAGCTCTACAACTGTAGTATTTATCTTTTCCCACAAAAATTACAATTATGTAACAGAGCTGTGATGTGACAGAAAATCACAAGTGAGAACTGAAGTTTTAGAAAATGTGTAGATTTTTCAAATATGTCTTCAAAAATTTATCACATCCCAAAATTATATTAGTG